ATTATTATTATTATTATTATTATATATTATTATTATTATTATATATTATTATTATCAGAATTCTGTAAATTTGCCGTTACGGTACCCATTACTAGCGTATGTAATACACGTCCACTCGCCGTTCCCCCGGTTTTCAAACAATCCAAAGATCATATGGACGAAGGCTGTACGATTCAATTCTGCTAGTAGTCAAACTTCTCCCAGTCCTCCGATTATGGGCCCCCTAAGCCCCCTCTGCAGCCGCTGCCCACCTCTGATCCCTAGCCATCTCGCCGCCGCCGCGCAGCTGCTGCCACCATCAATACTACCACCACCACCCTAACACCACACCACACCACCACCACCAGCCACCCACCTTCACCTGCCGCTCATCTCCCACCTCCACCCACCACACCACACCGTCTCGTCACCGGCCTTTCCTCCTCCTCCTCTCCCTCCTTCCTCCTCCTCCGCCTTTCCTCCTCCTACCTCCTCCTCCCTCCACCACCACCAACCACACAACCACCACCACCACACCACCACGTCACCGACCTCCTCCACCACCACCACCACCACCTCACCGCGCTCATCCACCACCAACACGTCACCGCCTCCTTCCACCAGCCACCACCCTGTCACCACCTGCTCCACTTTACCACCGGTCACCGCCTCACCACCCTGCTCACGCATCGGTACCGTCACCGTCTCTGCATCTGCCTCCACCGCCCCCTTCTCCCGCCGCCGCCCCGTCATCTCGCAACCGCCGCGCCACGCCGTCGTCGCTTGTTCGTGTTGGGGATTAAGCCTGCGCGCCTCTCGCTGATTGCGTCCCCTAAGTGAATTTTCGCCGTTTTTCTGCGAGTGGCTCGTGTCCCGGCGGCGGGCAGAGTTAGCCTTCGCGGGGGCTCCGCCATATGGTTAGCCGCAACGCACGACGGGAAATGCCGTGTTGGTTCCGCTGAATAGATTTCGTCGACAGGTTAGCTTCTACTCGCATGTTACGTTTAAGTCTTAAAGAACCATTTTTTCTATGTTTATTATAAAATTGCATTTGCTCAATATGCAATAGTATTGTACACTTTCAGAAAGAAATAATTGTGGAGAAATTGGTTTACCTTTTATGATAATTCACCCTGTTATGTGATTTCTTCAATTATTTTTCAGTTATCGATACAACTTTAGTGATTTAGAAAACGCTTTTTTGATCTCGTGAACAACAATGAATGAAAAATATTATTTTTTCTAATATAACTTATTAAGCGTAGGTTTTATTTTTAATACTCTAAATCTGAGATAACTTTGTAATATATGTCAACTTAGTTATGACACAGATGTTGCAAATTTAATTTGTAGATGAGAATAAAAGTTATTTAATTATGAATCGCAATAAATACTTTTAAATCAAACAAAAAAATAAATTAGTTTCTGTCACATGGAATCTTCGATTTAATTTGTTTCATTTTATGATTGTTATTTATATTACTAATTAGCGGAATTACTAATAAATACCCACATTGAAATAGACTTATCGTTTAATTTTTCTTAACCTCTTGTAAATTGTTGGGTTATTTCACATTTCACTGGCAATATCGTGTAGTGCAGTTGTATTACATTAGAGAGAGAGAGAGAGAGAGAGAGAGAGAGAGAGAGAGAGAGAGAGAGAGTTCAGAAGGACCCACATTCTTCGGAAGACTGTGATATACTGTTTGAAGTCATAAGAGGGATGTATTACTTTCGACACATTTTCACATAATAAAAAGTACAAATTTTCTTCAAGATACTTGTCATCATTATTAAAAGGTTGAATTCGAACAACAACTCGGATAAACCCACACAGTAACCACAACTCACAGTAAAAACAAATTCTCACAATTCAGTTTTCATAGAATGATTCACACGTCGAGTTATCACAATACGTTCTAATAAGATAGTGTGCTACTGCTCTAATGATATTATTTTCTTTCATTTTTCTTTGTAACAGTGACTTAAGTGATGTATCTTCTTGAGAGGATGGTCACGCCGTGTATCTTTTCCATTTCCCCAAGTTCATCATGCTACTTGGAAGTCTCTTAGGATACAACGTATTTTAATTCAATTTCGTAAATTTTTCACATATAGAGAATTTTATTTCAATTTATTAACCTTATTTATTTCATTTAAATAAATTGTTTTTTTTCAATTGATTTCAAATATGTGTAATTATTAGATGAAGTAAAATTTGAGCTTTAGTTCATTGCACTCGACTAGATCTTTAGTTCATTGCAGATGAACTCGATCAGACAAACAATATTTGAGCAAAGAGAGAACCTTTCTGAAAAGACTTACTTCCACAAATCGTCAACATTGGAATTGTATTCATTATACAAAGTTAATATATTAAAATAGATATTCCATTTGTAATTGACGTAAAATATAATTTCCTGTAATTAACGCATACAAGGGTCAATTTGATCATTACTGTATGTACCTCAATTTTCACTACTAAATTATACGGCGTACAATACGTAATTTGATCCAACTGCTTTACGAGAAAGCATTACATAAAACATTTCATCAGTTTACCAATTACATAATCATTTATTCATTGTGAGAAAATAACATTACATAATTTTACAAATTGCACTGTAATGTATTTCTTCAGAAGAACATGGCGAATACTATTGTATCGTTCGATTTGTGAACCATGCGAGTCTTTAATACTGCATTTTATGGACGAAAGAGAATTCATCCATCTGTGGGATGCGCTCGAGTGGTGTTGACCCTAGAAATGAAATCCGCCTCATAAGCCAGAGAGAAGAGTTTAAAGGATTCATGGAGCCTGGAATCTCCAATGAGTAATCGGTTAGTCTCGTTGAATATGCGTAATCACGTGTGATTCAGAATTCATAATATCATGCCTCGTGTTACGAAAGTCGACTTTGGTAATAAGATAAAACAAGAAGTGTGTGTGTACTAGAATAATATAGTAACTCAAATTGAGTTTTTTGCTAACAAAAGTATGTATTTATTACTCGTTGAATGCAGGCTGTTAAGAAGTGTGCCGAGGAAACTCAATTTGTCCGTATCAGTCAATAAATTAGTCATCATTTTGTTTAATAATAGTTGTTATTAATTTTTACTATAATTGAACATTTTTTGCCGTATATACTCAGCAGTAATCTTCATTCCTTATAGGATGTAAATGAAGACGCATTAAAATAATAAAAGTCATAGAAACATACACATGTCCTGCAACTACGCCATATGAATTATTAATTAATATGCATAATGAGATATTAATATGTCGATATTTTCGATAAAAACAAAATTGACTTCTTCAAAACAACTTTCCCAGTCAAAATCTGGATATCGTCTGAAACTAGAGTTTGATATACCGAATCACAAAAAAATGTGAAGCTTTTATTTTTGCTCTGACATGTTGTTATTAGAGAATGATGTTCGCCGGTATCGATTTCCATTGAAAGTACGGAATCTCCAGTTGGTTAAACACAAGTTTTCCACGACACGAAATTTAATTGAGTTTGTCAAATTAGAGATGTGAAAAACGTGGTCAAACATAATCCAACTTATGGAAACAGAAATCAATGATATTACTCGAAAGGAAAATATTTAGATATATTTATAATCTCTAAAAAATTATAACCAGAACAGACAATTCAGCGTCCTAGTAATTTATGTACTTATTACTCTATGCTATGGAATGAAATGTTTGCTCAATTTATTTATAGATATTCTGCCCCATTCTTAGATGAAAATAGTATATTCTTGTATATTGAATCTAAAAATGTGTGGCGTGTAACAGAGGACAAAGACACATTACTCGCTTGTTCATCATATGAGCCAATAAGAAAGTAATGTTCCTCTACACAGTTTTGAGATTAACACATACTACATTCTGTGTTTTACTATTACCTACCCTTGAACAATATTTGCTTATTAATTTCAATAAAAAGCTACTTTCTTGAAGAGGACCCACAATAGAGCATATAGGACGAAACATTAAGAATTTGAGTTATGATAGGATTTTTGAATTTCACTCTTCCAATATTGGTTACAACAATGAATACATAAATTTGTAATTTTTGTGTTATGACCTTGAATGGTAATGAAATGTAATTTATTCCAGACCGTTTAGAAAGTGAAGCACTGTTACACATAATTTAGAAATTTAAGTTCAACTCTTTTAACAACAGCCTGAAAACGTACCAAAAGTTCTTTTCTTTCTAGTTCTTTTTGTTCTAACTACCGAAATCATTCAAGTAACACTTTGCCTTTGATAAAATGTGCTTCGGTGCTTACTCCTTGCTCTAAAACTGCAAACACAAATCACTGTGTTCTCTGAATTTTGTGGGCAATTGATATCACTTGATTCGCTTGACTCTATTCCAAAGTCATCTCCGTGATTCAAATCCAACTTCTTTTCTCGGCGCAGTTACGAGTGGTTCGAGAAACTGGGCTTGCAGTGGTACGCGCTGCCCGCCGTGTCCAATATGCTCTTTGACTGCGGAGGTCTGGAATTCACAGCAGCGCCCTTCAATGGCTGGTACATGAGCACCGAGATAGGCTGCCGCAACCTTTGCGACACACACCGCCTCAACATGTTGGAGGTAAGCCCCTGTGCTACGCAACACGCTTCACGCCAACGCACGGCACATTGCATTTACAGCCCACTCTATCAATCCCCCACCCCAACTCAAAGTTGTGTATTACTTAAATCAGAATATTAACTTTGCAAACGTCAAATATCAAACATTATTCCTTTAGTTCTTAACTCTACAAATTTTATAAGTTTATAAATTTAAAGAAAATTGATTCTACTATTGTTTAAGGAAAAATTCACTGATAAGATACAAATCCTCTCCTCAACATTTTTCCAGGTATAATTGATGAAAATGAGTACCGTCATCCAACCAATGATTATACATGTCAGCTGCGTTTGTCTTGATTGTAAAACAAAAAAGTTTATCATGCTTAACATGTGAGGGTCTTAAGGAAATGTATTTTTTACAGACTTCAACATAATTAAATTCACTTGATACGATAGTAAATATTTTGGGCTTGTCATTTTTTGTCGCTTTAATGTTTACTATCAAAACAGAACCTTCCTCTTTCATATCGTTGATGTAGAAATTGTTCAATTCTATACGTCTACAAGCACCAAATATTCCAAAAATAGCAACAACCTGAAAATCATACCAGTTATTAATACACTACACCAGTTAATAAATAAAACTTAACTATTAATGCCATTGTCATTATTATACCTTCATTAAGGGAAAAGTTTCATCATCAGCCTTTGTAAGAAATGTGTTTACATCTTGTTGGGAAAATACCACTGACTTTATAGGTTGATATACCACATTTGCTTGTTTCATAAGCAAACTTGCTTTATGAAAAGTAACTCCTAACGTCGTTTGTTCAGTGATATATTATTCTTTATGCAAAAAATAACAACGTCTAAACTAATTGCATAATATACTATTATTACACTATTCATTATAGGTCAATTTCGATACTCCTACATAAGATTCAGTGTAGCAATGCACTTTTGCTTATATGTCATTATTATCTCTAGTGACAAATGTCAGTTGAAAATATGTTTTTTACAAAAATGTATGTAATTAAAATTTTCATGTATCTTTTTTCTCACTGTACGTCATATTATTGTTTATAATATCCAGATGATTACATTTCCTTGCTATTTTTTCATTATTGAACTGGTCAAAAACATGTAAAATATCATTGTTCCATGATATCAGAATTGTATCACTTTTCATATTTAAGAGAAAATGAAAATTTGATTACCATTACTGAGAGTAATCATCAGATTTCATAAATACCCCAATGCAATACTAATGTTTGTGTGCCGTGGAACAAGGCTCATTATGTCGATTGATAGAGTAAAGGACTGAATTGGTTCTGTATTAAAACCTGTTTCATTTCGGGTTATTTGAAAGCGATCGTTTTTCTGCTATCCAAAATTCGTTACCAATTGCAACGCGTAATTACTCTTTGATTGCGTTGAGCTTCAATTCGTGAACTCATTTGAGGACAAATCAACGATTTCGAATACTAATAGCCGCTCTTTTTAAACTGTATATATATCGAACAAAGTGACAATATTTAATATTAAAGTTTTAAAATGTGCGTGACATTCAGAAAATGTGCAGTACTATTTGTTGTATAATTATCTACAAATGTAATTTCATTTTCGTCAAGATTTTCATTTCTATTTTGCAGTAATATAAATATGATCGTTTGCGAGCATTGCATTACACATTTTTTTATTCTCTAACCAAGCGCAAAAAAACACTTTTTTAAACGCCAATCACCACACTTAATGATCGAAAACATATCATTCCCTAAAAAAATGCATGTAATGTCAATACCGCGTCGTTAAATGATTGTGCTCTGCCAAAACGTACGTCAAAAATTAGACAGATCCTGCTGTATGTGTTCACGGAACATCAACAACTGCGAGTGTTGTCCCGTAATTTGTAGAAGCCTATTACGATAACAAATAGCCTTCCCTCATCATACCTCCGGCAGCAATATTTCTGCCTTAATGTGCCCCGCGGTGACTGGTCGTGAATCAGAAGTACATGGCACTTAACACCTACGCCAGCACCGTAATTGATACTCACGTGGTTGTGCGGGATCATACGTCAACGCGTTCAAAAAGGTTCACAATGTACTGTTGCCACACACCAAAATTTCACCGTCACTTTCTTCAGAGTCGAAGAACTGCGATCGACAGTTGTCAATAGACGTGTTTGCTGGTAAAACGAAAGCAAAAATTGTTCTCTCGAATACCCCCTGCTAGCATAATCTTCATTCACGTGTCTACAATATACTGCATCGTGCATTGCAGAGCATTCGATTTTCAAGAAAGTTTGGCTTTTGTTATTGCTTTATATTTCTTGTTTATACTTATGAACGGCTTGAGACAGTAACAAGATTAAACACATTTCAACCAAAATCGAGTATTAACATTTACGAATATCGAGAAGCTTACTGTGGCTGATGCGGCATATCTTGTTACTGCACCAAGCTCCTCATTTATACTAAAGAAGTAATATGTAGATAACGCAACTTAACTGGCTACTTCTTATAATATTTGTAAATTCTGCGTTTAATTTAACCATCAAACAATTACAATTAATACTACAGGATTGCATTCTAAACTCCAAACGATGTCGGTGAGTGTGAGTATTGTGACAGCTTTAATTCTGCGGTGTGACACAGTTGTTTGTGTGGATAGACGATCGCAGTGCGCATGGGGCTGGACACGCGCACCCCCGTGTCGCTTTGGAAGGACAAGGCGATGGTGGAGGCGAACGTCGCAGTGCTGCACAGCTTCCAGGTGAGTTGGACGGGCAGACGATACAAAGAGCGGCAACAAAATTACTTTATTTGAAATATTTCAAAATTGCATGACGTTTTATTCACGATGAATATGACAGTAGTAGAAGAGACAAGTGATGCCGTTCAAATCGTTATTCTTTGAGCGATGGAAATCCACTTAGAACTTATTTCAGACATTCTAAAAGAATTCTTTATTGTGATTTTGCTGTAGCAAAACTATTTTACATTACTTATGGTGTAGACAAAATACACTTGCATTACCTTCAAATTTGCAATTTTTATTAAGTTTCGAGAAAGAATTCCTATTGGTCATAGTTTTGAAATTTTCATTCCACGGTCTAATCTGTAATTAACCTGTACGGTTGCCGATTTTTATTGACGTTTCAATAAGCGTTTGAACATACCCTACTGGTTATTTCGTTCATTTGGAAGTACTTGTCGCTGAATTCGATGTTCGCAGTAAATGGTTTTGTAGTTTGTGATAATGTAATTTCATCGTAAATGGTGTTGACCCAGTTTCTGGCGAGCAATTAGGGAGACTAATATATTAGATAAATTTGGTGTCGGTACCAACCGATAAGGATCCGATTAGCTGACTTCGATCCACTAAGGGTTCCGTCGCACCGTTCGACCGAAACTAGGTCTGGACGAACACGGCCGACGACGACGACAGAATACGGCTTAGGTGGCTCAGGGCATCAATTCATTTCACTGCAGTGCCTTTGACCGGGAGGTCCTAGGGTTCGAATTCTGACGGTGTCAGAATTTTCGACACTAGCTACCTAGCTATGTCGAGTTCAGCTGCTGTCCGGAAGAGAATTGAAGCGTCCGGCTGCTTTGATCGACAGTTTTCCGTGGTTCCCCCGATCAACACTTGGCGTATGCCGAAGCAGTACCCTACCAATCAGGACACGGACCGCGCGCGATATTTCCTTCCACTTCCTGGTCTCAACTTCTTCCGTTACTTACGCACGCGTACACTTATATGCTCTACACTACCACACATGTCGGAAGACCAGTCGTGAATTTGCAGCACGTCTCGACTGGGGCGGTGGACTGCTGGGGGGAGATACCTGGTTTAGGGAAACCCCCGCAAGCCGACGTATAGGCCCGCTCCGGATGTCGCCATCCAGCTGCAGAAGATCACCACTACCTCCCGTTATAAAAACCGCGCTACACATACGGGATTAATGACTTCAGCAGTTGACGCGCCTGGAAGCACCAATCAATGAATCAATCGAATGCGCGCGTTGCGATTAGATGCGGGGCGTGACCATCGTGGATCACCACACGGCGTCCGAGTCGTTCATGAAGCACTACGAGAACGAGCTGCGGCTGCGCAACGGCTGCCCGGCCGACTGGGTGTGGATCGTCCCGCCGCTCTCGGGCTCCGCCTGCCCCGTCTTCCACCAGGAGATGGCGCTCTACCTGCTGAAGCCCTCCTACGAGTACCAGGTGAGACGAGACGAGACGAGACCGTCATCTTTGGAAGTTGAATTTTGTCGATCCTCCCATTCACATCGTTCATCTACTGCAATACTGGCAGGACGTGGAAAATGAAGTTTTTTATATAAACGTATTTAAAGTTGTCTAGTTTTTTAAATGCAAGAATTGCACACAATTAATGAATTACAAATTAAGCATTACTTAAATTCTCCATATGCTGTTGTTGTTGTTGTTGTTATTATTATTATTATTATTATTATTATTATCAAATAAAGGTCTAAATTCAAGATTAGTACATTTCTACCTTCGTATCAGTGTTGCAATTCATGATAGATGTATACAAATTAAAAGCGGTTAAACAATTTTAAACTGTACCTAAGAACAATTCAATTTTTACAGTACCTTTTTTTTACTTTTTTCATAGAAATAATGACTGTTCAATTAATTGAATGTATGTTTCTTAAAAGACCACCATTACAACTGAGAAGTTTTCAAGCAAAATTAATAAAACGTACTAAAAAGGACCGACAAAATTAGGATTGGCCGATGTTCATACAAAACTTAGGGATATTAGACACCAGACAGCCCTAATATAGTTTTATTATAAAATATTATTTATTCATGAGACATGTGTAAACACTTTCAGAACGCAGTAAAAAATTAAAAAGATCTTAAATTGCTTTTTAACATTTCCAACCCTATTTTGAAATAAAGCACGGAAACAAACATAGAATTTTGCTATTTATTTCCGTGCTTCTAGCGGAACGAGGCTTCCGCGATGTGAAAGAAAGTTTTTTCTCAATTAAAAATTGTCTGTGGGTTTACTAATTAGCGATATTGATTCCTCTTCTTTTTCTTCGCTGGTTCGCAAGACCAGCATTTCACTTATAAGGTTCTGTAATCCATCCGCTTTTAAAGGTTATGACGGGAATTGGATGGTGAATATACAAAGCGTTTCAAAATTCTTTCCCTGTCTTTCAATAAACCAAATTGAATAGAGAGTTGATATCACTAGCGACTGTCTTGCAAGTTGGTTGACAATGTAGTAGGCAAAGCTGCAAATGTTTCATTGCTTCTTGCATTCATTGCTTCCTTTCATATTTTTGCTTCGATGTTCTTTACGTTGTTTTCTCAAAAGCTAAAGTTTTCATGATTTGAAAGTATGCGTTGGCCGCAGATGTTTTTATTTTATATTTTTTATCATTATATGTTAAATTCAAATAAGAACAAAAGAGGCAAAGTTTATCAATACAATAATTTGGAAAACTTATGTTTATCTCACTAAAAAGAACTAACATATTCGTTTTCTTCACTGCTTTAATTTCTCCTTTAAACCCGACGAGTGTAATCACGCCGACGATTTCACTCGGCGAATTCTCCCTCTCCGCATAATGTAACTGGGGAGAGCCTTTGAAAGGGAGCAACACGAAGTATCACTCTTTCTGAAGAACCCGCACTTACAACCGTTTCATCTTCCAAGATAAACCACTTCGCCATTGAATTTCACTGTTGAGAGAGCAAAAAGAGGCTCGATGTCGTGGTTCTTTGAGTACAAACGCTCGAAGTGTAATTAACAAGGGAAACTCTATTAAGTTTAAAAACTGAATTAATGGGCTAACAATCCCATTGCATCTTGTCGGCTGTGCCTTGCCGCGAAAGAAGCAAGAGTTAATTTAAAAGCGGGCGACGCCTCGACTGAGACGCGGCCTGCAGGCGTCGAGATCGCCTTCTCATCTCCTCTCTCTTCCACTCGTCATCGTCACTTTTCTCTGCGACTCTTCGATATCTGCTCTTCTCTGCCAGAATAGTTCGGAGGGCTTTGCTCCATTTCCGTTTCCAGAAACTAGTTCCAGTTTCGAAGAGAGATATCGTGTATGCGAAACTTTCTGAATCAAGGACGCAGTATCAATCCGCTCCATGATAGGTGACTGAATCTGCCATATTTGACTCCTAAACTTTATTCTCATGGCGAGAGGCTCTCGCGTTTAAAGCTTTAGGCTGCATTGTCACTCAGCAGATTTCAAATGTTGTACATATCTAGTTCGGAATTTCTGTTGTCGATAAAAAATTGTACGCATCGAGCAATCGGATTCAAATTCACAAAACAAACAGTATATTTTCTTTGTTTTTAAAACTTTCTTCTTCACTCCCCTCGATATTAACAAACTAATTTGATTTTATTGCAATATTTAAGAAACTGCGTATTCGTGAAATAGTGTATAGTATTGTCTTTTGTGGTAATATAAAAAGAAACTCGAGAGTATGATTAAGTAATTCAGCAGGAAATTAACTCGTGAACTATTTTACGAAAGCAAAATTCACTACTGTTCGTTTCGAAAGCCCGACACACACCTAGATCGCAATCTCCTTTCGAAAGCAGCAAGAGGCTGCTGTGCAGATGCATTGCTTATTCGGACCCCCTCCCGCCAGTGATCGCGCAGACAGCTCTGTACATTCTAATGCGGTCGCGACGCGCCTGCGCAGGACCCGGCCTGGAAGACGCACGTGTGGAAGAAGGGCCGCGACTCCGGCAAGAGCAAGAAGCCGCGCCGCAAGTTCCACTTCAAGCAGATTGCCAGGTGAGTGCAGTGCCTCAACCCTCGTTATAGAGGAGTTACTCTAAGAAGGGTCCAGTATGACAGGTCGGGAAACAAATGAACGTCATGGAAGGCGATGGCATTGCAAGAGATAGCGATGAAGAATTTACACATGAACTAGCGTATGTGATATTCGCTGTAAACGAATGCTCTTACACAATGCAGTTATGTTTCCAACAGTGGTCAAGCTGTAGCTGTCAAGCCGGTCTCTTCTTATGGTAATCTCTCTATATCACCATACGTTATATTTAGTCATTCGTACATGACGCATTTGACGACGAACATAATCCACTTTGGACAATATGCTACTTTGTTTAATATTTGAAACCCAAATACACTTTGTGTACATATTTCTGAACAATGACTTTGTCTACAATGGTGAGATGTACACTGTTCGCAATGTTGCTGAAATTCGGTTGTGGAGAACTATTAACCTGACTTGTGAAATAAGACAGGTTAATAGAAATATTGATGTACTTCTAACCACATGAAATATGACACGTAAGGCCGTTAGACAATTTTCTTATTAAAAAGCCCTTTATAAAATTTACAAATTACACAACAAATTAATGTAATGGTAAATTTCAGGCGGATGAAGTGAGACGTCACATATTTATTTGCATGCAGAGGACTTCACGGGAAGCAAATCGATGGGATGGTCCAGAGGTTTGGCTTCTGCCTTGCGATTGAATTTTAACTTGAAGGCGCCAGTCCGTAAACGAGAGTGTCCCTGCACTTGCACCTCGTTTAATATTGACCTTGTCGCCCCCTCTTCGCTGGAATCGCCAGCAATATCACACCTTCTCCTTCTTTGCCGCTGCATCAGCCACGCACTCACACCCTTTTCGGTTCTCCCATCCTCCCCGACTCCAAATTACTCTCTTCCACCCGTCTGCAAACACGCATTGTGTTCTCGACGCTTCCATATCGACTTGCTCAGACTACGGGTCTCATCCATCCACACTATCTCATCGTCTTATTCCCCCCTTCATCTTTACCACTTTAATCTTCATCAGGGCTGCCTCACCCAGCAAACCTTTACCCACACTTTCCCCGCGGCTTAGCTGTATTTCACGCTTACATTTCCCTTCTCTGCATTCGAACGCTTCTCCAACGTACACCCCAGTCCCTCGGTTCTCTCTTCCCAGCCGATATCTCCTCTTCTCATCCCGTTCGGCTGATTCCTTCCTAGGGAGCATCCCCATCCCCATCCCCCTATCGACCCTCCACCGACCCGCCGCCACCACTGCCGCCGTACAAATCCCGCCATTACGTGTTCCCGCCCTCGCGCGGCGCGCGACCGCTGTGAATAATTGGGCGCGTTTGCACCCAGAGCGCGCAGCGGTCGTCTTAGCGCTAATGCTTCACCCCGGCACGGCTGCGCCCACCGCCTGCTCCGCCGCCGCCGCCGCCGCCGTTGCGATGCCCGCGGGCGCTCGGCGGGGAGTTTGCGGCGGGCGCGTGCGTGCCCACCGCCCGCGCGCGCTCCCACGTACCCCAGACGCCCACGCCGACACGACGTAACCCCCGATCGAATGGGGAGAGGCGGCTCCATCGCTAGAGGCCCAGCCGCGAAAGATATCATTTTGAACACTAAGTGAAGTGGAGGTTGCCTAATGGTGGATCCAAGGAGAAGAGAGCCATAGCCTTCACCCACTAAATCAACATTTTTTGTTTGTTGGTAATTCAAATGTTTATTCAAAATAATTACCGTACGTAGATATCATGACATCCACACAATTCCATCACATCCATTACGAATAAACGCATGTTTTTTTTTATTCCAGGCTAATAAGTTCTTTAAGTATTTTTTAAAATATTTATGGACTCCGATCTGAAATTGTCACCCCTCCCCTGAAACACTTCCTGAAGCCGTTCTTGAAAAACAACAAATATTAATCTATTATTATAATTATAATTAAGCGCTAATTATTATATTATAATTTATCAGTAACCTTAATGAAGTTTATTTCATTACGTGACTTCGATCATTCCTAAATGTTCATAGGCGGAATTTTGTTTTAAATATAAAGTATATTTCTATTTCAGTTTATAATGACTTCCATAAAATGTCACTACAAAATACGTCTTCGTATCTCTTCATCCAAAAATTGTTCAAATGCAATGCCTTACAATAAAGGGAACATAATGAAGATGCCATAGTACATTTCTCATTCCATAACTCCTTTTCCGTGTGTGCAGAGCTGTCAAGTTCACGTCGAAGTTATTCGGGCGCGCGCTGTCTCGTCGTATCAAGGCCACGGTGCTCTACGCCACGGAGACCGGCAAGTCGGAGATGTTCGCCAAGAAGCTGGGTGAGATCTTCGGCCACGCCTTCAACTCCCAGGTGAGTACACTGTTGACTCAAGCAGAAATTATCACTCGAATTAATAATTTTAGTTTATATCAACCTACGTGAAGACGAATTCAAAACAATGTTAATTAATAAAATATAATGGATATTATACAATTGCAAGCGCCAAAAATATCTAAACTGTTTTATAAAAATATTTTCCTTTGTTTTTTGTTTGTTTGTAGTTTTGCTAGTTAATCGTGCGTAATACTGCGTTGATCTTAATATAAAAGACTGTCCACCTCGCTAGCCCCTGCAGAAATAGTATGGAGTCAGATTTCCTGTCATAATAATGAAGTGTGTGGGTGAAGAAATCGAACGCAGGACACTAGTTTCGTTTGCTTGAAGGAAATTTTCTTTTATTGATTTTCCGTGTTTCTCCTATTCTCGGTTGATCGAGAATCGAACTTCTGTTGACATAATTACCTGGAATCAATACCTCATTTTCCCCAAAGAAGAATCCACTAATTATTTGAGCATACAAGTACATTTTCAACAGAGTGAAACTATTGCAAAAATGCTTAGAAAATTCACAGTAATTCTTTGAGAAACCTAATAAGGGAACTTATTCGTAAGTATTATTGATTTCAAATTATTTAAAACTTAAAAGAATAATGGCATTTCCGTAGAAGCCAAGTTTCTTATTATACTAGATAACAAGTCGTCAACATACCCACAACACACGTAGAGATCGAATTGAGTGCTTCCTTTAAAAATAGATTTCCTGCAAAATCTATGCGAAAAATTAATATTTTTTTACTAAGAAAAACAAAGTTTTTAAACTTTTCACGAGATAGATTTTAAATTCAATACCCTTGTTCATATATTACATTTCCAAGTTCATTTAAAACATTATTTATCAGACATTTCATAACATCGTAAAAAATATCTTTTCACGAACTAGTTCGTAACTTCATAGTAGGAATGTCAAAGTTTCCGCGATAACTTGCATTATTTAAGCATATAAGCCTTGCCAAGCATATTTGCCGTTCTCCAGTTCTTTAGAAAGCTTTGTTACTTTCAAGTGCTCGTTATCTCTTGGTTTTCTTCTAACGGGGTCATTCAAGTTATGAAGTACGGCAGGACCAAAAGTCCTCTAGTCTGTCCGCTAGGGCACCTATCCATCGTTTTGTTCTCATTTCCGAGGTGTCATCCATCCCTCCCCAGGCAGGATCCTTGAAGCGTGCCAATCAGGCTTCACTGCAGTCGTTATTTTCATGCTGGCCGGATCCCGTCAAGCCTGCAGCCAGGCAGCGCTCGAGCCCAGATCGTACTCATTATTATCGATATTCTTCATCTACAACTTCCGGTCCACGACTTTCTTTCTCCGCTCACGACTCGCGACCGGCGACTCCCAATTACAGACGGCGAGAATTAATTGTTCGGAATTCTTTTCGAGGGCCCGCGAGGAGAGCGAGGATAATTAATGGCAGGCGAATAAAATTCTTGGCCGGATATAAATCACGCGCACGCGACTTAAGGCGCGCGAGTCGCAACGTGCCAACCGCGTCTCCCGCCGATATTAGATTGCATCAGGATTCACGACGCGACGTGGTCGCACCGACATGCCAGGCACGTCTTTGCGGCCAAAATCTGCACTAATTAGCGGAGACACAAAGGCGCACTACATGACTTTCAGGACCCTGTTTGCCTACTCGATCAGTCTCTGCTCTTGGCTCGTTCCTCTGTAGGACAGGGCAATAGTCAAAACAATACAGGAACAATAAAAGAACGAATTTTCGAAAAGAAAGGAAAATATTAGTTCTATCAGTATTGTGTTGTGTACTCGTAAGCATAATCAGACCGTCGTCATCATCATCAACTTCATGAAATGCAATTCTGTTCGTAAGAGATCTCCCAAACTACCGGTTAGCCATTGAAAATGTTTGGCAGGTTAATACTGAGGCAGAATAGTCACCACAATGTAATGTGACCTCGAACGAAGGTGTTACTTTGAGCATTAAGCAGCTATTTAAATTCTGTTCGGAGGCGCATGACTTGACTATAATTGAAAATACCATCGTATCTAAAATATCGTGTGACCAGCCAGAACGGAATTAAATGAAAGAAATAGAAAGATGAGATGTTGGGACAATTTGGTTAGGAACAAGAATGAAAGTGGAACATGCTTAATCTTATAATAATATTCTGAATTGGCTTAAATGTAGATTGTTAAATTTAAATTATTGTAAGATATAAGGAATTATTGAATTTGGCCTTGCAATTTGTCTGATGGAGCTAATTTATACTCCGAATATTAGTACGAAATGATAAGTACATTTATAAAAAACACGGAATATTTTTCTTCTCAAATTGGAAACCGTAAAAGACGACAAAGAATATTTATTATTGCTATTATTCATAATAATTTTAGATTAATATTTCAAATTACCTTCAACTGAACATTTCATCTAGGTGTATTGCATGTCGGATTATGACATCAGCAGCATTGAACATGAAGCGCTGTTATTGGTGGTTACATCAACTTTCGGCAACGGAGATCCTCCTGAGAATGGCGAGGTGAGTATAACGGAAGTTCTTTTACAACAAATTATGAAATATTCAATTTAAGGTAGAACCTACTGACAATATGCGATCAGTGATGTCGAAGGCTTCCGTGGCCAGAGTCAAGTGATTGATATTGGCTGATCGGTTGATGCCGCTTCGTAATCTGTGATATCGTTTCGACCATCTTATTGAGGTTTTCCTCGGGGCTAAAGTGACAGGGCATACATTTTAAGCATCATTACGTATCATTGACGTGCAATGTTTGATTCAAAATAAACTGATTCAATATATAACATATTACTCTACGCGTATTGTTGATATTGAAATACTTTTTACCCAAAAAAATGATAAACGTAGAGAATTTTAACTTTAGGATACTCTTTATCATAAAATAGAGAAAAATCATTAAGTCTTCCGTTTTTGAATTTTCAATGCCAATTAAAATCTGATGTATTTTGTTTCAAATGGTTTAAAACGTTTTCTAATGATTTTCGTTTTTGACATGCTGTGTCACCTATGCTGCAGGAGCCTTCTAACATTCTGTGAAATTTAAATGAAATTATCCATAAATGACATTTTCAGTCGCGACTTTACAACTAAAATAGTATAGCCTCAAAAGTATTCGAAATAAATTAAAGATTTTTCTGTAAATTGTAGTTTATAGTTGTATTAAAGAAATGAACTTAAATAATTGATTTACCCGTTCAATTTTTCCCAGCAGAGCTCGGACAGCTCTAACAACATTTTCGAAAAACTATAAGAGATTGATTGTCTCAATTTTTTTAAATCATTGTACAGCTTAAGAATTGTCCATTCCTTGGAAAATATAGTTCTAATTATTTTTCAAGACAGAGTTTATTGTTTTGAATGTTTTGAGAGATATGGTATTTTCCGTTAAACACTGAATATAAGTCAAAATTTGTACACATTTTTTTTGTATCGTTTCTACAAAGAACCAGCGTCGCAGCAAAATGAATAGTTGAAAGAAATATTTCATTCAGGTAGAGCTTTACTTTAACCTTTAATATTATATTTAATTTATGCTGTTAATATCGAATTACGAGATTGGAGACTTACTAACATTCACCAACTTCAAACTTGCATCAAAACGTGTAGTAATTAATTCGACACTTTAAATTGGATATTCTAAAGATATTTAATTTGGATGTAATTGTAAGCTCAAAAACACTCGTACTAATAAGGAGCCTTTTTTTAAAAATAAAATATGAAGTACGAATCGTGCGGCCGAACAATCATCACGTAAACAAATCATTACGAAAAAGAAATTATCTGGACAATAGGAATTATGATAAAAGAAATGGTAAACTCCCCTCTCCCAACTCTTTATTAAAGAAGTAAAATAGGTTTACTGAATGGAAGGAAGTCAACCTATTGGTAGAAATTGAATTTTATTTGTGCCCGATTCCTCCCTCTCCAGCCCTGTTATGTTTGTACCCATCCGGCCCGAGCTTGCAGCGGCTGGAGATACAGGAGGCGTCGCGTAGTGTTCGACGCCAGTTCTTTACATAATCCATGCATATGCATAATCGCGTCCGCACTAGCTGACCCGTCAGCTTGTCAAAAACGACCAGCCCCGCCCCGCCCCGTCCACGCCACTCCGCACCGCACCTGCGAGCGCCATCTGTCTCCCGGCCCCAGGCCGCACCCACACGCAAAAACGTCCCGTAAACCATGGCGCGCACACGGTGCATGGGACACTGGACGGTACCAGCTTTGCTCTACACCGCGTCAGCCATCGATAGAGGTTTTTACCAGGCTGAAATATCAAACCCTTTACGAGATCTTGTTTGAATGCCGATATAGACACTACTTTATTGTTGTTATTCCATATTAAATTACATTTTCTTACTACTGATTTTTCATAGTCTAATTCATCTGAAAAACTACAAAAACTGTTTCATAAAAAAAGTGACCATTTTTTTTATGATGAACATCAGAAAGCTTACTTTTTTTTAATTTTTTTGTCAATGTAACCAGAAGAAAAGAACTGTCGTATAGCATTCATCAAAAGAGATGGTTTTAATAGGTTGGTACACCAAACCCGTTATGAGGCCATGATTATATGCTGATACATGATTCATGTATGGCTTTTCTATTAATTAATAAAAAAATAAATTAATGGTTTCATCATAAAATATAACAATTTTTTCAAAATGTATTTTTATAACAAATATCTGAGCTCTTTCTTTGAAGAAATATTACCTGTATTCCACTTACAAAATCAATACTTACACCTGAAATTTCAGATAACTGCAAACAATACTTGTAAAACAAAAAAGAGGTTGCGCATGAAAAATTGGGCTTTTACATTACAATGAGCGGAAACAAAGTAACAAAACAAGCTCCTGTATTATAATATTTTTCATTAAGTATACGTACTGTTCACTTGGATTTGTTCCCAAAGAAACACAGTGTTGTTATATCTGAAGAAATGAATATGCACAATGAATAGTAGATGTTTATTAATTTTGTAAAATATTAATTTGGATTTTATACTTTGAAGCATATTCTTGATCATTAATAAATTTTCAAAAGCAAACTCCAAATTTATTATTACTTAAAATGTTGATCAACACTCAATCGACTTTTATTATAGGACCCCTTTATTTAGTTATGGGTATTATTATTTCTATCACTCAAATGTAGATCATTAAAATTTTCAATTCCATATTTCTGGCTTATATTTCATTTATAATTATTGTTTCATTAAATTTCAGATGTTTGCGCAAAATTTGTACGCAATGAAAATGAACCACGACAATGTCACAGAAGGAGATGAGAGAATAAGGTAATGTTGTAATGCATGAAAGGTAACACTGCAAGCTTGCTTATCTGATATACAACTATTTATCCAATATCTTGCAATTTCTGAAGTTGAATTTTTAGCTTCAACTTGTATATTTTGCTTATACATATATGTACAAGGCTTCATTTTTATTTTTAACAAATACAAGAATATAATTGGCTAAGCATATTTGGCAATTCTTCCTCACCTGTTTGATTTTGTACTATTTCATCCACATACATTTTTTCTATCTATTTAATTTATTTAACATCAAGAAACAGGTAAAAACTGCATATGACATACTGAGGGGAAGAAGTAGAGATTTGTTGTCATAATTTGAAGATTGGTTATTTGTTATTAAAGTTTCAAGATAAGTAATTTAATTAAATGTTATTGTTCTAAGATATTCTGGGAGAGTTGAGCTATAATTGCCAAATACTTGCAATAGGAACTAACAAAAGAGCTATTATATTGCAAATTGCTGCCACCCATATCGTCATTGCTTTTGTACAATATCTTTCCTAGCTTTATTGCATTCTCACAGATCATTACAAAAGTAGTATACAGAAACTTTAAAATTCCTGTATTCAGAGGAATGGTGTGTAACAACACAAATGGAAATGTAGAACTATGCAACTCTGCAAATAAGACCATTGTATTGCAGGGTGAAAGTCAATTTAATATAATTCTCAAATTATCATAAAGATAAATAATTTCCTCTTCTGTTTTTAATCATCTTTCTTCCTCAATTTCATTTAATTAATGAATTGTTTGCATTTCAATAAAGGAAGGTTATTTGGAATCTGATGAATTTTTATATCCTTGTTTTATATAACCAAAATTAAAAGCAGTCTAAAAGGAAATAAACTTTAAAATGTTAGACAATATCAATGCGAACAAAACCTGGTTAGGGCACTAGGGTGGCAGCACTGTGCTTAACGCCGCACTTGAGCCTCTGCCTCTGCCTCGCTCGCAGCATGGCCAGCTCCAAGTCCTTCATCAAGGCCAACAGTCAAACGGAGCTGGCAGGGCTGCAGGCTGAGCGGCGCCTGGATCGCTTGGACTCTCTCAAAGGCTCCGTCAGCGACATCATGTCAGAAGATACCTTTGGCCCTCTCAGCAACGTCAGGTAATGTGCTTCTTTGCCAAAGATGTAGCTGAAGCTTGTCATGTCCTGATGTCTCTTTGAGACTATTTCCTCCCTCCTCAAAATTAGTGGTTCCAAGAAAAGGCACAGACTTTCTATTTCAATTTGTGATGGTTATGAAATATTATATTAAGTATATTGCAAATAATGTGCATGCAATATTTCAGCTATCATGTGCAAATCTATCTTCATTAAACTGCCACACACCATTATCTTCTCAAACCAACTTTACCATTAAAATTGTTATTTTTGTTGCAAAGATGGCCAATTATGTGCTTAGCATCATTGACAGGGCTGGATTTACCAGCAACTCTAATTAAGCAGTTGCATAGAGGCCCCCACCCATCGGGGCACACTGCCCCCAGAAAAAAATCATAAAGTATCAAAAAAATGTATTTAAAATCATAAGATTATAAACATGTAATTAAAAATATATTGAAATAAAAATATAATAGATGTTCAATAATTCAATAAGTAATTTGTGCCCAAAATTATTTGGGTAAGTCAATAAGTAAGGTATTGATTACCAGAGAATCTCCTCAGAAAAGACTGAAAAAATGAAGACCTTAAAACACATGTCAAGCATTCTGAATGCCTTCACTGATTTTAAAAGTACTTTTAACTCTAAAGATATGCCAATTTATTTCAAATTAATGTATTGGGGATGTAAATAAATATTAGGTGGCATATTTTCATTAAAAAATACATACTATTATTATGTAAGTACTACATTCAAATTCCTTGAGAAATGGTGTTTATCTTATATGAACATGGCTGAAATCAAATAGCTTTGTATCAAGCCATTAAAAACCTTCTACAAGAAAAAAATCATAATGGAATATTCTATCGGATTTTAATGAGGGCACTTCTAACACTTGTAGTGTATTATTGCAATTATGTGTGTGTGGTGTGTGTGTGGTGTGGTGTGTGTGTGTGTGGTGTGTGTGGTGTGTGTGTATGGTGAGAGAGAAGAAAGAAGGAAAGAGATAGAGAAGAAAGAAAGAAAAAATGGCTTTTACAGCCTATTCTATCCAATACATCTTTTTCTGCCAAATTTCTTGTTGCCATTGCAGTCAGTATTTCTTGTTTCCGTGTTAGTATGTTGTCCTTGTTTGCATGTCAGTATTCCATGGGGTTGATGGTCTGCCCCAACATCTTCTGTATGAAGATATTGATTTATATACTTGTTTGAACCACCTCAATTCCAGCATTGGCAGCAGATGTTCATACCACTGAAGCTGTATTCGTTCAACAGAATCTATTATATTCTTTTGAATTTCCATATTTTATTTTATTTCTTCATTGTGTAAGTGGTGTAAACGAGATATTCTGCAACTTGGTCTCAAAAATTCTGTTTGAATCATCAACAATCTCTTTATGGGGGGGGGGGGTAGTTCCCATACTTCCCTATGTGACAATACTTTCTATTAAGGTACTGTAAATATTTTTCTTTGTTTTCTTTGATAACTGGGAGTTCCACAGAATTGGATTTAGCATATTTATGACTTGTTTCCCTTATTATTAATTATTATTTACCTCATTATTAATATAATTATTACTTGTGCCCTCCTTCTAAACTGTGAAGTCCAAATATTTAAAATTATCGTATACTTGTATTTTACCATTTCAAATAAACAGATAATTTCCATATTCTCCTGTTACCATATACTTCGTTTTGTGCACACATTTATTTGCAATCCCCATATTTCAAATTCCTGTTTAACTTTTCTAAACATACTGTTAATATCCTGCTCATCCTCAGCCATGATGACTAGATCTGTGAAAAGTAGAGTATCCAGTGTTGATTCTCCAATTTTGCATTTTTTCCTCTATTCTCTCAGAGCTTCATGACTCATGTTAAAAGAGTTGGGGACATATGGCACCTGTCTTAATCCTTTACAATTTATTATTTCATCTGATACTTGTCTGATTACTTTCACAACACCTTTACTGTCTTTGTACATTTTCTTAACAGAGTTATCTAATTTAAAATTATATTTTTGTCCTGAAGTTTTAAGAAGACTGCTAATGAGAATGCTGACATATGCCTTTTGGAGGTCAACAAACAATAGATGAGAATCTCTTCCACAGGCTTTCCTTTTCTCTAAAATTTGTTGGAATCAGAAAATGTTATCTACACATGTATGTCCAGTCGTAAAACCACTTTGTTCTTCCAGATTTTCTATCTCTGACTCAATTTTTCCTTTTTTCACCTGTACACTCTACTAATTGAACTTGTGACACTAATACCTCTATAATTTTCACATTTTTCTTCATTACCTTTTATATAAATCAGTATAATTTCTGCTTTTTCCATTCTTGAGGAATTTCTTCTTGATCAATGAGACATTTATTAAATAGTTTTACAATAATTTCTTTCATTTTATCCAGAGAGTGAACACTTTTAGTGCACATCTTTTTAGTTAACTGACTAAACAATAGAATGATGCTAATGAGTCTTTGAAAAAGAAGATGGATTCCAAGGTCTATGCTGGTTATTTTTTCAGTGTTATATTTCCACCTGTAATATAGATTGTACAGTAAAACCAAGTTAATAATTTCATATGTTTTCATTAAAATTCTTCTTGTTAATTTATTATTTCTATTTAGATTTGCAGTATTTGCGTTAGGCTCAAGTGCCTATCCAAACTTCTGTGCCTTTGGCAAATATGTTGACAACTTACTTGGAGAACTTGGAGGAGAAAGACTCCTGAAACTATGTCAAGGTGATGAAATGTGTGGTCAGGAACAGGCTTTTAGGAAGTGGGCACCTGATGTGTTCAGTGTAAGTAAATTTCATCTTCTAATTCCCTTTTAATATAACACATTATGTTTGTTTATACTTGGCACACCGACATGTGTATGGGCCATGGCCTACCATGGCCATGTCTTACCAACGACATCCCAGTCTCGCAGCCATGGGTTAAGGTGATACTTGTAGTTAGCACGGAGCCGTATTCTGGTCTTCTCAATCAGAGAAGTGAATTTTCTCAGCATTCACATCAACATGTACTGGGACATTGCAAGAAAAATGCATTCTATAATCTTGCCTGACCGGGAATTAAATCTGGGGTCACGTCATGGAGAGCAAGCACACTGACCAATGAGCTAAGCCACCAGGAAATATAATACTATAAACCTGATAAATTGTCAGAAAATATGAAACCAGTCATATCAAAATACCTACTTCAATGGCACCATGGATGTGTAATTTTTGTTTTTTGTGCTTTGTGTCCTTTCTACAAAGGATGCATTGTTTAATTTTTAATTGACATTTTCAAAGAGGTATTGGTTTTATTTTATCCTCGGTGGTTACCCAAGTACTATTGAGTGTTACTGTACTGATCAAGACAACTCCACAAATCATGCCCTCAGATTACCCATCCTGCATTATGTTTTTGTGTACTTTGTACATATGAGGCATCTTATATATTTCAATGTCATATTTTTTTATTAACTCATTAATTGAATTTTTAAAGTTAAACTAGCTTTCTTTTAATACAAACAAATAAAGCTTTAGAAATAAATCAAAACATGTTATTAATGTTTTTCACTTTTAGGAATTATTCAATTCAAAATTACATGATGGTGAGACGTCATTAAATTTTCTGAAAACAGAATTAAATTCAATAAACACTTATAAACAATGTCAAGGAAGAAATGCTGAAATATATTACCACATAAAACTTATTTTTACAGTTGGCATGTGAGACATTCTGTTTGGATGATGATGAAACGTTCCTTGAAGCAACATTGGCCTTAAGGGCTCCTGCCTTGTCTGCAACTACAGTTCGATTTGTTGAAGCTCAAGAAGAAAATCTTTCAAAAGGTATTATTTCAAAACTATGTATGATGAGTTTATTTAAAATTAGTGTCATCAATGTAACTTTACTTTGTTTATAGGTCTCTCTAAGTGTCATAATAAGAAAGTGTCAGACTGTAGGGTTAACAGGAAAGTAAATCTCCATGGCGATGATGCCAGGTAAGTCTTCTAAAATTAGTTATAAATTAAACTGTCTTTTGTATAATTACTATAATTGTAATTTACAAATAAATAAATGAAACTGTAAGCATTAATATGACTTACTTATTGCAGTCGAGCAACAATGTTACTTGAACTTAATTGTGAGCTCGCGTATCATCCAGGAGACCATGTGGGAGTATTTCCATGCAACCGAAAAGAAATTGTAGATGGCATTTTGGAAAGACTACAAGGTTCCGAAGATCCAGATCAACCAGTAGAGTTACAAGTGTTGAAGGAAAATCACACATCAAATGGTACAATTGAACAGCAACAATTTCCTCCTTTCAAAAAATATATCTCTTACAGCAAATCAATCAATTGTGTAATTTTGTAATGATTTCATTAACTATAATACCCCATTTTTCTAGGAGTTGTTAAGACTTGGGAAACACATGAACGGTTGCAGCCCTGCTCTTTACGAACACTTTTAACAAGATTCTTGGATATTACAACACCACCTACACCTGATCTTTTGCAACATTTTTCATCGATAGCTACTGATCCTGAAGAGCAGGAGAAGCTGCATCACCTTGCCACAGTAAGAATAAAAAAATTTTAACTAACATGATAATTCTTCCTCCTTGGACAATTTGAGTTTGACATGTGGCTTGTCATCCCTGTGAGAGATGACAGAGAGTAGAGAGTCTACTATTGAAGACCTTCTAGATGTTGTGTTCACAAGGGCATGACAAATCAGTCCAGTTCCTTATCTGGGGTAATGCTGCAACAAATGAGGCTTTAAATTCCACTGAATTGCTAGACTGACAATATGTGGTTCATACAATGTCCCAAATTGTTGAGAACTTGCACATGGGGCCCTCCACAAATAATGTAATCCTAAAGGGGGAGGTGATTTGAGGCAATTCTATGCTACCTTTATAGTACTTGAGAGCCATTAGTTTTGTGTTGTGTGATGTTGATAGTTCTCTACAATATTTATAGAAATAATCTCTTTTATTCTATTTATTTAAACTAAGCCAACAAAACATTAAAATATTTTTAAAAAATGCATGTATATAATAAAAAGTTATGCGTCTTAAATGTTATAAATAAATGCATTTTTTCATTTATTACAAATAAAATATTGAAACCTTGTCAATAGTATAATTAAATATCCAATTAAATTTGTACTGGAGACTCTCTCTTATCACCCGTCATTTACAACAGTGCAGAGTATTCTGGTCGTGTTGGCAGGATTTTTTCACCTATGGGTCTGCCCTTCCTTCCCTCAAATGTTCTCCACAGTCTTATTGTTACGTACAGCTATGGGCTTCTCTGGCAGGGAGATGTGGAGAACACATCCTCCCAAATATTTTCAATTACATTCAGTAGTTGTATTAATATATCATTTTTGTTATGTTGGTAAATATGCCCTTAGATCCAGAGCAACTCACCATCTAAATAATGCCTTGAGAGTGTGTCCATAGCAACAGCCATTAAAATGCTTGAGAGTCAATTAAAAATATTTTAGGGTTTAGATTTTACCTGTGCTCATCTTTGGATAAATATATCCCTCTTGTCCTTTATGTCCCATTTCATCCATTTTGTTCCCCATGTCCCATTAGTCCTCCTTTATCAGTGCCCCCTTCACCCCCTTGTCTCCTTGTTCCCTTATTTCATTTTGTCCCCTTGCCCCATTGTCCCACTTCGACCACTTGCCCCATTTGTTCCATTGTTCCCTTGCCCCACTTGTCCCATTTTGTCTCCATTGTCTAATTTGTTCCCCTTTCCCCATTATGTCCCTCCCTTTTTCCAATGTTGTCCCCATTATCCCATTTTGTACCCTTGCTCTCTTCGACTTCCTATTCCCGCTTTGTCCCACTTGTCCCCCTTTGAACTATTTTAATTAGACATGGATCTTCAAAATATTTCTTGAACGTGGCAAACTACAGCATGTACGGTGCACCTATTTGCACGCATTAGAATTTTAATCATTGTCTAAGACTTTCTTTAGAATTCTTTAAAAAAAATATTCCCACCAATGAAAACTGTAATTTATGAAATTAAATGGCGAGGCTCGGTTTTCTTAGCCAAGTTAATAGGCACGGGCTCTGCCAAACAAAACTTCAGTAGCACGCTGCCCCCGCTCTTCTTCAAGTTTCTATTGCCTCGCATGCACCAGCTACTGAGGACTCGCGGTAGTCCACGATACGACCCATTCTAAAAACATTTCGTCTTCAAACATTGCGCTGGTGCACAAATTAGGCGAGTCGATTTATTTAAAGTTTAATATTTTCTGCAACGTTTCCGTGTTTGTTTTTTTTTCTCTGGGGAGGGCGTCGCTCTAGAGCCCTTAAGGACCAGTCGCCACTGCTTGCACAGGTGACTTGACCCACGGGCACATTGAGCGGCTCGTGGCTCTGAAGTTAGGTGTGAAGAGCTAGTAGGGAAACATAAATGTACACATGCTGAACTTAATAATTGAAATCGCTAATTTATTGTACATCAAATCGATCCATCTAGGCTGGGGACTTGTTTGTAATGTCTTCATTCATCAGTTTTCTTATTAACTGCAGAAGTAGTTTCTTCTGAATTACAGTTCTTCTCGAAGATACACCGAGACATCTGTGTATCCTATCCTATTAAAAATAAATTTAAACATAATTTTTATACAAACAATTGGTGAAGTGACATTCATCAACTTCCCAGCGGACTCTGAGCGACAGTCGCCAGCTTCTCTATCTCGCTGCGTCAGTCGCTGAATGGGCACATGTGTCATGGAGGAATCGATACCGAGGTGTTTATCTCTGCTATTTGGGACTTCGACTCAAATGTAGGATATTTTGGCATGGGTGAATTATGCCACAATTTCATCCTAAGCCTAGCAGAAAAGGTATCCAAGAAAAGAACACTGCGTAAAGGAAATTTGTATGTTTTCCTTTTATTTTGATTTTATCATGAGTATTGCATTTATTAAATATTCTAGACTGATCGCATAGGGAAAGATGCGGCGATGACTTGTGGCCGGGAAGAGCTACGTCCACAAATGGCTGCGACTAGTCGCTGAAGCTAATATTCCGCGGAGTCGCTGAAGCTAATATACCCCTTTGATGTATCCTCAAATTGTTCGTGGCAGATGAGCCTGTGAGTGCAGTCTTCATCGCCAATTAATTCTGACAGTGGTAATGGCAGGGACGTATCAACGGTATGGCAGATACGGCACGTGCCAAGGGCGTCACTCACAAGGGGCGCTGTTTCGGGCGCCTTCCCACGTCGCCAGGGCGGAAGGGCTCTTCCGACCCCGGCACCGCTGCATGCCACGGCCGCACCGCCGCGGAAGGGGGTGGGTTCTGCAGGGGTAGGTTTCGCCGACCCTCCGGCGACGACGAACAAAGGAACCGCAGCAGGTAAAACACCGCGACCGGCGGCGCAGTTGGAATACATTCATTTGAAGCTGTGTTCTGCTAGCGGTGGCGCGTATGCCCTCCTGCGCTTCTCGTAGCGAAGGTCCGTCGCAGAACGTCGCAGCGGCATAAACTCGCTGCACGTGGGAAGGTCTCTATTCAAACCGATACTCTGTCCGGATGCGCGCAGCGGTGACGACGTGAGAAGGGGAGTATAACCGCTAAAACAAATAATAACAACTTTCCTGACAGGGGGCGCAAATACTAGGCTTTGCCATGGGAACCTGAATACCTAGATACGCCTCTGGTTAACGTGTAGGTTTTATGTAGCGGACAGAATTGAATTAGTTTAGATTTATTTTATAATCGCGTGTAATTCCACACGAATTTAATAAATATAGACGCGCAGCGCTACAATGAATTTGCTATTCCTTTCCTCTTATATTTATTAATTCAGAATTAAAGGAAACAAAATTCAGAAATAATATTATCGAAAATGAAGGTGTTACCTGTTGAAAAACAAACCACAAATGTACTAGTTACGCTAAATGTATCCGTTTCCAATTTATAAATCAAATAATTTACTTCAATTATTATAAATTTTAATATATAATACAAAATTAATACAAATTGTTTTCAGTGTTCGCTGTATTACTCATTTCCAATGCGCATAGTAATTGAAAGAAAACAATGCAGCCTCCGGTCATGTGACAGGAGTCTGTGGTTTCTGTAGATACGCAAAAACTCGGGGCAAATTACCGGCTTAGGTGCCTCAGGGCATCAGTTGATGTCATTCCTATGACCGGAATGTCCCAGGGTTCAAGTCCCGACTGAGGCAGGATTTTCAACCCTATCTCTATAGTTAGGTCGAATTCAGCTGCTGTTTGGGGGAGAATTCTAGCGGCTGGCTGCTCTGATCGGTAGATTTCAGTGGTTTCTCTGATCAATACTAGGCGAATGCCGGAGCAGTACCCTAACAAACGGGACCGCGCGCGATCTTTCCTTCCTCGTCCGTGTCCTATCCTCACCCCCTTACACACACACACACACACACACACACACACACACACACACACACACACATACAAACATTACACTACCACACATCTTGGGAGACCAGATGGGAGCTTAGAGATTTTCCTGGCTGGGGCGGGCTGGTAGGAGGTATCTGGTTGAGGAAAACTCCGCGAGTCGACGTGTAGGTCGGTCGCAGCATTTCCTTTATGGGATGATTGACCATAGTAATCGACGCACTTGGAACAATAATCAGCCAATCAACATGGGGAAATCCAGAAGCAATAAAGCAGTTTCGATTTTGACTGAAAAATGCAAGCGTGTGTGTCATTCCATCTATTCTCATCTATCCCACGCATACACCGAATTTTCATACTGCATTACTGCTTACAACAGCTTAAGTCAAGCAAGCTCAAGGCTCTCAGGAAGAGGCTATCAGCCAATAATTATTTGCTATTACTATTTTGTGTTATGGAACTTATTCATGGAAAGTATAGAACTGTAGATCTATATTTATTGCATACTGTGCCATTGCAATATTCATGAAGACTGGTTTCTGATAAAATATTTAATTTATTGTAGTGTTATATGAGAGCATTTTATTTGTTGTTCTTGAGCTGTGTGTGTGTGTTATGATTTATGAAACCATTTTGTTCAGAAGCATATTTGCTGCTGCAAGTCACTAAAATACTTTATTTTTACTTTTTATAAATAGGGGGTGATGCTTGCCTTAATTATTTAGGGGGGTTTGAACTTGCATTTCCTTTGTGTTACTGAGGGGGAAGGGGAATCCAAAATATTCCAAAATTTGCGTTACATAATTGATGGACAGCCCTTATTCCTAAGTTAAAAGAATTACTTGAAAACTTTCTCTAATGGCTACATTAATACTAAAAACTTCTGAATGTTTGAGGGCATTGTCATACACTTCATGTATGGTGACATTTACTTCATTTTGAAGGTATGGAGAAAAAAGTTCTTAATTCTCTATCTGTGTTCAGGATCCAGCTGCTTACGAGGATTGGCGTCACTGGCGATATCCCCACTTGTTGGAGGTGCTAATGGAGTTCCCATCTGTTCGACCTTCTGCTCCTCTACTTGTTGCACAACTGACTCCACTTCAACCACGATTTTATAGTATTTCTTCTTCTCCTTATGTCCATCAGAAACAAATTCATATTACAGTTGCAGTTGTAGTGTACAGAACAGAGGGTGAGTGAAATTGCATAATGCACATTTATTATTTATCTACCTTATGAATTGTACAAACTCAAACATTTGCCATCATAAGAAAAATGACTATGCATTACTTGAAATCAAAATTAGCTTTTTAGAAATTTAAATTACAGGTGTGTGCAAATTATTAGAATAATTTATAAATTTGGTATTTTTCTCCTTATTTAGTAGAAAAACACTTTACATCTGAATGTAAAAGTATGTTTCAACCTGTTAATATCTTGTTTGGTTCATGTACTTCACTGTAGGCTTTATGGGATATTGGAAGGAAAATTATGTCTCTCTCTCTCTCTCTCTCTCTCTGTAAGGTTTGTGATACTGTGCATCAAAATAGCTGATGTTGTGGCAATTGTTGAATGGGGTTCCTTGTTTTTTCTAGTTTAGTGTTGCATATCTATGACAAAATTGAAGCCTAGGAGTGTTTTATATTGTTTATATAGTGTCTGTTTAATCTAAGTTTTGAATATAATTGGTTTTTGAATTTTTTCCTGGTGAGTTTTTGAAACAGTGAAATGAAGATGCTTCTTCTTGCAAAACTGTTGTTATAGGTAAAAATACAGATCTTTCGCTCCATAAAAGGGTATTGACTGAATGTTTAATAAAGAAGGCAGATATTTTCAACAAAATATTGCTAGGAAATTGACTCTTTCACAAGCATTGGTTTGTAGAATCAGTCCTGCATTGAAATCAGGCGGGATCCTTACAGTAAAATTTAAGGGAAAATGTGGTTAAAAACCCTTACTGAGCTCTCGTAAGCAACAAAAATTAATTCAAAAGGCCAAGATGAATAGAAGAATCACCAATAAGGAGTTGAGCAATCAACTAAAATTGAATGGAGTTGAAATATCCTATCAATTGTAAGATGAGGTCTTTCTACTGCAGGACTTCCTACAAGAAGGTCAAGAAATAACAAAAATAACTTCTACCTTGGCTAAAAAATGGGCAAAAGGAATGCAGATTGAAGTTAAAATCAGTTGGGAAAAAATAATAAATATAATTTATCTCATTATGTACTGTTTACTAACAGGTAACTTCATACTCAGAGGTGAAGTGGGATTTTTCTAACTTTTTCAGAAATTCAGTTCAGAGACATATGGATTTATTTTCTATAGTTGCAAAACATTATATTGAAAATTCAGTATAATTAGTGCTTATTATCTTGCAGGTAATATTTTCAGACAAGATCATATTTTCTGTGTCCATGAAAAGTAGTCAGTACGTGTGAATGGCTCCTGATGAGGCATTTTCTCTAAAATGTATCACAGAGAGTCAAATATCCAACTTCAGTTATAGTATGGAGTTGCATGTCAGGTCATGGATGTGACAGATTAGACACTGACGAGGGCACAATGGGGCATAATCAGTATAAAAAGTGCATCAAACCCAACTGCTGCCTCAGATCTGAGGTTTCCTGATTCCTTCTTGGTTTCCTGAAAAAGATTGCATTTTTATGCATGATGGAACTCCATGCCATTAGGCCAAGTCTGTAAAGAAATTCGTAGAAGAAATAACATAAAGGCATTGTCTTGGCCTGATAATAGCCCAGACTGCAACCCAATTGAAAATTTATGGGGAATTGTAAAGACAAAATTAACTAACCATCGTAGACATACTCTTTCGTGATGAACAAATTCAGAAAATATGCAAGGGCCTTGTGGAAGGGCCAGAGAAGATACAAATGGTTGTAAAGAACAAGGGAATGCACCCCAAGTACTAAAGAGGTCATCGTGTATTGATAAATTGTTATAACTATATTTCAAAAGTAAATTGCTATTAATTTTTTTGATTATTTTAATAATTTGCACAAGTCTGTAGTTGTGCAACAATGATCATTCCAACATAGTCAGTTTTTAATATGTATTTAACTTAGCACTGGATGTTCCTGTTGTTATCTAAATATTTCTTATCACGTTTCAGATGGTGAAGGTCCTGTACATTACGGAGTCTGTTCCAATTATCTGAGGGATGTTAATGTTGACGAACACATTTATCTGTTTGTACGAAGGTATGATAAATTTTTTTATCTTTTCTACCCTTTGAATGTGATTTCATAAATATTTCTCTATAATTATAATGTTTGTATTTCACAAATATATATAAAAAAATATATATACAACCCATGCAATTTTTCCAGTGCACCAAACTTCTACCTTCCATCTGATGTCAGTCGCCCTGTGATAATGATTGGTCCAGGGACTGGCATAGCTCCATTCAGGGGATTTTGGCAGCATCGTAAAGCTCAGCTGCAAGCTGCCCAGCCAGGTATGATTTTCAGATATTTCCAATAAGAATAGAAACATTAAATATTCCATATTTAAAAAGTTCAAAGGTTTTAGATTAAAAAATACTAAAATTCCAATGCTTATACGAAATATGTTAATTATGGGAATTTACTACTTTCTTTTGCTCTAAAATCTTTTAATTGCAATTTATGAAATAAAATAAAATAAGTAATTAAGTAAAGTAGTATATCAAATTATCATATAATTTCAGATGTATTAGGCGTTGGAATGTATACCAAATCGATAATGACATTAGTAACCTGTGTGTTTGAAGAAATAAATCATCTTCATTTTGGTAGCCTATAGTCTGCAAAATTTGCCTTAAAGTTACATGTTCCCTTTATAGCTAATTTTCAACATTTTCTCTCTTCAGTTCCACATTCTTTTGACATTTCTATAACTAATATATTGCAAATAGATTTTTTTGTAGTGATATCTTTTTATCAAATATAAATCTTGAGATAAGGTCATGTACAATTTTTCGGAAATATGAGTAGTTTTTGCGTAATAGTGCGTGAAACATTGGCATGAACATTGTGTGAATCATTGAAACTACTCTCTCCATCTCTATCTCTTTGTGGGCATCAATGGGTGTGTGCGCGTGTATGCGTGTATCTCTCTCTCTCTCTCTGTATGTCTCTTTTTCTCCTTTTCTTTAATTGCTAATAATATAATATTAACTGCAAAATTACAATATTGATGCTAGAGATTTTTTACTTAAATGAAATTTGTCCTAAAATGTCAGTTCTTTTAAAAGGTCAAATATAATATTTTTTTACAAAAATGAGCAGTTTAGCTTAATTTTGCAAATTTTTGAATTTGCAGGTTTGAATTTTCCGCACTTTACTTGCTAGAACTTTTTGGGAGCTATCAGGTTGCATTGCAATGATGGGAACACTTTGATATGGCAGTTTGAAATTTTTAGAATAACTTATTATTATTGATTGTTTTTTACTGTTGAATGTGTTGATGAGTTATCTTAAGTTTTCATGGCTTTTGCACTGCGATTGGTAATGAGTTTTACATGTGATGGCTGAAATATTTTAAAATAAACATTAATTAGTACTTGCTAAGGAGATTGTACATTTTGTAGGATTTGCTGATTTTGGAAAAATGTGGTTATTCTTTGGATGCCGTCAAAGAGCACTTGATTTATACAGAGAAGAGAAAGCAGCAATGCAAGAGGAAAACATTTTGGATAAAGTATTTCTAGCATTGTCCAGAGAGCCTGACATACCCAAGGTACCAATTCTAATAAACAATCTTTTAAAAAATTGCATTTTAGAATTGATTTATTTGAAAAAAAGATTAATTTCTATTTTAGGAATGTTTCTTCAATTTTTGATTGCAATTTTGATTTTTTAATTAGATTTATTTAAAATGAAATACTTGATTATCCTGAAACTTCATTCTTTTTCTTCATATATTTCATAAATTGAACAATATTTTGAAAAAAAATTAGCTGTGATTTTAAACTTTATTATCAATTCTGATGCATCATCTGCTATGAAATATTAAATATTTTAGTTTTTCATGGTTTATAATTTATTAGATAATCAGAAATACTGTTTTGTCACCAGACATATGTGCAAGACCTCATTCGCAAAGAAGCAGCCACTGTTTACAGAAAGTTGGTAGATGAAGGAGGACATTTCTACGTTTGTGGAGATTGTACAATGGCTGAACATGTGTATCAGACACTAAAACATATTATTCAAGAACATGGACAACTTTCTGAATCTGAAGTGGAAAGTTTCATGCTTAAATTGAGGGTAAGAATTCTAGTAAATCAGTAGCAATTATGTAGATCTATTGAGCACATTCTGTGACTTTGCAGAGTACATGCACCATATTTATTGCATTCATTATTAATATTCAGCTTTTAAGTTGTAATATACAATCTCTTACTTATACTTTACTCAGTTTGTTCAAAACAATTATTGTAAATAGATCTAATCACACCCACAGCAGTATTCCTATTAAACACTTACTATACCCTTGAACATTTTTATTTAAATCTAACAATTAAAAAATTATTAGAGGTAGGATGAATTCTGAATTGAAATTGTATCTCTCTTCCAAATTAGTATCAGGATCTGTCACTGAGACCAAAAGTCCATTAAAATGTGTAGAAATGATGTTGGAGATCCTTTTTAAAAAAAACCAACAATAATAAATAAATTAATACATAGGTATTAATTCATATCATGAAAAAAGAAAATTTAAGTAAAAAAAATAAAGAACTGAAATTTCTTGTATATAATTCATGACTTTTGCCAAACTTTTAGATAGATATACATTACAATGCTTTTCTTTGTTTATCATAAACAAATTAAGAACATGAAAATTCTTCTATTTCTAAATATGATTATTTGAAGGAAATGTACAAAAGATTTTCCTTTCTTTGCAAATTTCTTAGTTACACTAAAGAGGTGGTAGGTTAAATCTTTACTAATGAAATCTTTAATCCTAAGATTTATAAAATAAGTTCATGTTTCTTTCAGGACGAAAATCGTTATCATGAAGATATTTTCGGAATTACTCTTCGCACAGCTGAGGTTCACAATAGATCACGAGAGTCAGCAAGAATTCGTATGGCTTCTCATTCTTAGGTATCCAATAAACAGTATATATGAAGATTCTTCCATCATCCAAATTCTGGCAATTTTAAAATTCTCAATGTGATTTACTTGCTTTCCTCTGAAAACACTTGAACACATCCTATGATTGTGCACATTCTCTTTGATCTATTCTAGATTTATAACAACTGTTACGATATTATTGAAGTACATACTAGATGTCAGTGTTGTTCACATTATAACTTTGACACTACTAACAACTTTGAATGACTACTTTATCCTTGAGATATTTTAAAAATCTCACTTTTATTCTAAATTTCAATTGACTTTTGTATCTCATTAAATGACGAGTGTGTGAATGACATAATTAGACATTCTTGTTAAGTGCCTCCTTGCATCACACAAATTTTCTCCATCAAGGTAATTAAAGGGACCATAATCAGTCCTTGTAACAGCTTTTGTTGTCCATTGACAGGTACCAAATTTCAAATTACCTTTCAGGAAACCTGGAGACTTTAACTATGTTGTATAAATTATAAAGTGGCACTTGCAAGTTCTCTGTGTCTTTGAATTTATAATGCACAAATCAGTACAAGCATTTCCTTGAGATAATATTTTTTTTATAATATGCAGTATTATCAAAACCTGTAATCAATGTAAATATGAGGATGGTTAACATTACTTTAGTTTTATTATTGTTATTATTAGAATTATGATAATTAAGGTTATTCCCAACCTAGCAAGAAAATTGAATTAGTAGTTAATTTTAGTTGTAAATACAGATTCAAATACAGATTTTCCAGAAAAAATCCTTCTGGACACATATTTGGTGTTATCACCATGAAGATGTCTTGAAAATTTTACGACTTTTGTACTTGATCACCTTGAAAGTCAATACTGTGATATTGCTGATACTACACCTTCAATATTAGAATAAGTGTTTACTCTTATTCATTCCCTGATTTCAGGACTTCTAGAGCAATGTCACACAAGAGCCATTTTCTTTCCTAGTCACTCCATGTGTTAATTAAATTGCTACATTTTTATTATAAATTTTTTAAAAATGAAAATCATTTATAAATTTTGTTTTGTTATTTCATTTAAGTAATATCAATATAAGGTCAATATTAGAAATGCTTGATAACATTCTGTATGTATGTGTGTATGGTGTGAATGTATTATTAGTATAAAATACATCATTGAGTACACCAACATTCCTTGAAATGCAAAAGGAAATTTGTATGTTCAATGTTTGTGCAAGTTTTAGCATAAATGAGTGATACTCATCTATTTTTATGACTAAACAATTATATAGAAGAAAAAATAAAATGCATGGTCAACTGACATAAGTTTTTCAACTCTGTAGATTTCTTAGTACATTAGACTGGTTAGGGGCTATGAATTAAATTTCCAATATAACAGTCTTGGTCTTCATGAACATTTTCTGGGGGTATTACAAACTCATTCATATGTCTCTTTGAACCTATTCAAGCACTCCACAAACAATCAAAAATGTTTGTTTTGATTTTAATCTTAAGAAATGAAAACAACTGTCACTGAACTACATGATTTATTTAAAAAAAAAAAAAAAAAGAATTATGATAATGGGAACTAGAATTCATAAATAAGTCTCACTGCAATTACAGCAGAGTGTGCATGTAATGTTTCAGTTGAAATGAGATTAAGGAAAAATATCAATAAAAGGCAAAATTCAAGAAATATTAACCCTACATCCAGATTCATTCACAATCAACAATCATTTTGTTCACAATTTGTAATTTACTGTTGTTCTTGGTAATATTGGAATAAACAGGAAATGGATTACATTATACTTATTAGTCACTGTATGCTTCAAAAATGCAGAGAACGTAGAAAATATTTTAGAAATATTTTATTAATTCCTGCTTTACAACCAGAGATAAATCACATTTTATTGACTTATAATTTTAAATGCAAAATATTTTCAAAATTAACAAGCATTTTCCAAGTAAAAAGTTCTGGTGTTTGCTTTAAATACTTGAAAGCATTTTCAACCCCTACAATTTTCAATTTTTACGCTACAACTCAGTTCACATTCTACAATGTTTATTTTTAATTTAAGTGTAGTTTATTTTATACAAAATATTTACCATTGAAGTTCCCCTTTTTTACCATTTTCACTAACCTTTTAAATAATAATACTACAAGTAAAATTGAAAACATTTCAAGAAAAAAAGATTACAATATTACTTGCTATAACATGCTAAGCAATTCATTTATAACACATGTTATTGATTCAAGGTATAAGAACACAAGTATATTTCAAGTCATATCAAAATTAAAACAAAATCAACTTATCATACCTAACATTTTAAATTTGTTAGAAGTTGTTTTGGTGGCCCTTTGAATGATATCCCAGTACCCCCTCGTCTTCCTTGCCTCTTTTTAATGTGAAATGAACTTTGATGGTAAAACTGATTCAAAGGATGATGTAGTATGATAATATTTTATAAATACTAGCTGAACTCATTCAAACATTCCACTCTTTGTTAATCACTGTTTTTAAAAAGTAAACTAGTTGTGCTACAACAGCACAAACTTTCTTGTATTATTAGTAATATTTAGATAGTATTATAATATTGCAACTTCTAACATACTAACATTTCAACCATCCCTTGGAAAAATCCCAACCAACCAAAACACAAAAGGTTCAGGGAGGGGGAAAAAAAATTTAAGAAGCTTAAATGGAATTGGCTCTCTGATATTGAATGGTGTGTATTGTAATATATTCTAAAAAGCTTAAAGAAAAATAAATGGACATATATACATAAGTTTGGCTCAACTCAACTAACAATAGCACAACTCAAATAACTTGCAATAAAACCCTTATTGTTGTTGTTATTATTATTATTATTATTATTATTATTATTATTATTATTATTATTATTAACTATTCTTTTCCTGAATCCCTCGCCTTGCATGCACGGTCATTACCCTTCTTTAAATTTCATTTAGAAATTATTAATTTAATCTAAAACTTGATCTTTGTACATTTTTAGTAACTTTCCTTTGGTGCTCCTCAGTTCTCCACTCAAAGTTCCATTTCAGTTAAAATCCGGTCCAGACCAAATCATCTTCTTTCACCCAATCAATTATAGTTTTTCTTTCTACTTATAACTTTTTCCTACTAGTTACTAATTTACAAAAAGTCAAGTCGAAAACGCTTCTCCGCCATCCGAACGCTACAAAGTCACATCTGCCTCCGCATCTCACCGCGTCGGAATCGTCTGCCCCGTCTGTTTGTCTTACGCGCTGTTTTTCTGTCTTCTTCCCGCCTGCGTGGGATCGTACCCAATTGCATTGTTCCTTCGTCTCAGTACGCAGGCTATCCCCCTTCTTGCACATATTCTAATTTTGTATTGGTCAACATCATTTTAGTACTTTATTTATTCTTTCTTTTCGATTCCTAATTACTTTCGTTATTTACATCTTCACTCATGGAAATTGCTCACGTGTACATACACTGTTTTATTTACCATCACTATCCCTATATTGCTCTGTATTAATTATGTCGCCATTCCCTTGTATTTTCATTCGTTATTACTCGATCAATTGCTTCTCCTTGGTCTCCCATTGTTGCTGTTGTTCTGTTTATATATTTTATCTGAATTTGCACACACCTTGTGATAAATCATCACCGTACGTATGACAGGAGACCGGTCGGGAGCTTAGAGCTTGTGCCGGCTGGGGTCGTGTCCCGCTAGTAGGAGATACCTGATGGAAGAAAACCTCGCAAGCTGACTGATAGGTCGAGGCCGGATCTCAACGGTCATTGCGGGAAGATCACCACAAGATATATACTCTCTGACCGGCGATGCTCATGCACAACACTTACGTGACTAATGACCAGTCAGTTGACGTGCTCGGAAACAATAACCAATGGATCTGTAAAACTTTTCATTAAAGAAAATATCTCGATCATAGTTGAAGAAAGATGCCGAAAAAAACGAAATTTCGCAATTTTCAAAAAAATTTGAAATTGAACGAAAATGAAACCCGCACAATTTTTACGATATCTGAGAACAACATTTTATCAACAATTTGGATTTATGAGGAAAAAATGAAAATTTAATTGAGAAACCCCTTCCTAATGAAAATATTTGTTTCAAACTTGCAGGGAGTGATTGAACGGTTTCGGCCCTATGGTTCGCCACGGACAGACACACAGACGTTTTGTCAATCGATTTTTTGGCATCAAGACCCCAAAAACATGGATTCTGTTTCAGGGGCGGTTTCAGAGGCAAATTTTGGGAGGGGAAATTAAAAATGTTTGGGTCGAATGTGCATTACAGTTTTTGTAAAGCATCGTAGACTACACCCAGCTCATGCTGCGATATGACTTTATTCGTTTTAATCCGAAAATATGTTTGCTTGAAAGTTTCGTGACAAGTTAAAATTAATAGTTACTGAAAAATGTTAGCGTGTGTGTGTGGGAGGGGGGAATCTCCTTCATTTCCCTCCCAGTGGATCCGCGCCTGCTGCCTACACATCGTGTTGCAAGAAGTAAATTACTTTGTAGGGGCAAGATTTTTTCGCTACTACTTCTACACTACTCAGGCAATAAGAGATTTTCTATCAAGAAATCGTTGTTTTTTCCCGCATAATTGCTCTAGAGTGCGTAAGCAGTAGACCCTGTGCGAGAAAGGAAGTAACGGATGAGAGAAATATCTAGAGAAAGCAACTAGTCCTACAACACATCATATTTTCTCGCATAAGTAACTGTTATGTAAAATTATAATACTGCAATTTCTGTACGTATTAACACATCTCTTGTAAAACTCTTTACTGAGGTGCGGTTTTAATGACCTAAAACATTGCCAAAAATTATCTATAATATGCATTTAAAGTGTTTTAAAAATGCCCTAAAAGCAAATAAAAATGACGTAAAGAATTTTATCAAAACCAGTTCAGATGAACAACTAGAGCTGATGGATATATTACTGATGTAATTTAGGCTTCTCCCTCTCGTTCAAGTTAACTAAGATTTCAAACTTTGGGTTTTGACTGTTATTTATAACCAATGTTCATTAGTTATCGCGAAATCGGCCGAACCAACAATGGCGCTGGTACTAAAAAACGTCACAGGAACATTATAATTCATACCGTAGTACTCACAACGGCCAAAATTAAAATACATGAGCAAAGAAGCCGAATAGGCTGCTCAGGAATTCTGCGGTCAATATTTATTGCATTTCGTAAATATTGTTTGAAGCAAGCACCATTAACATGATATTAAATTCGATGAAGTCAGTGAAAATGCTTTAAAAATGACGGGGGAAAGGTAAAATATAACTTATTAGCTGAAAGTGACAAAAAATGCAATGCTCTAACAGCACATGCTTTCTCGCCTTTAGTAACAGTTATGTAATACTTTTTATACTAGTTTTGTAATTCAATTTTTTAAATAAATTTGAATTAAATATTCCTTTTCCTTTACATGAAGCAACTAGGACATTTTCAAAACAAAAAATAGCTCCAACGTTTTTGATTAGATTATATTGTTCCATAGTATGAAAGACATTTATGCGAATGGTGTAAGTCTCATTTTCGTTGAAAACACTGATTTTTCGAAAGTTTCAAAAATTCAAGACTTTTCAAAATTCTAACTTCTATCTAGCAAAACTTATATTTTATATAATATCCATCAAATTTCAACTTTGCTGAAAATCTAGTTAATATCAAAGGTATGATTTTGTAGGAGTGAAGAGCTTTCCATTTTCTCCCAGTACACCGAGGGAAGTGTAAGAACTCGTTAGAAGAAACTTGTCGCTCGATTTGAATGAAGCGCGCTACGCTCACAATGTGGCCGGCTTGCGTGTTTCCGTCCCAATCCTCTAAAAAGCGCGCGCACGTCTGTCTTCGAGATAATGGCTTGTTATTTTGAAGTTTTTACGTTTAAAATTTTTCAACATTTAATAATTAATTCCAGGAATTACATTGTACACAAAACACTGTAAATATATGACAATTTTGCATTATATTTTTTTATTACAACAATATATTGTCAATTACAGTAAATTAGTAATTGACAGCTATTCAAATTTCTGAACAATAAATATTGTAATGTATTGTCACCATATGTATAAACACCTTCAAATATAAAACGATATCAGAAACATGTCGAACACAAATAAATAGAATTTCCTTAAAAACTACTGATTTTTTTTAAACAACTCATCAGACAACCTCTAGTTGGTGAATATATAAAACCTGCAAAGGGAAACAGTCATTCAACTGGCGTAGATGAACATATGAATTATTTAAAATTTACATTCCATATACAAGTATTTAAATACTGCCCAACCCTACTCATTACAAATCGTACAACACTTGATTCAAAAACTAAATATTTTCAAGCAAATATCAATACAAATTTGATAATTATAACTGATGTACATCTGTAAATCACAAAAATGTTCTGCCGAGCCGTTGTTGAGTTATTGTAGCATTCCAAACTGATATTCCCTGAAAGCTAGCAGTATTTCAAATAGGTTTTAAATAATTTCTAAAAGACTAATGAGTAAATAACAAAAGTCGAATGTAAGAAACGAACAAAGATATATGAAATATACGAATTCTACAAAATGAAGCATCTAAATGTTGGGAATTACAACAACGAAGCGCAGTAAATTCGGACAGCCAATATTTACGTCTCCAAATTAGACCAAAAATACTCATATTTTCACAAAATGAACATAACCTGATTTGAAGATATATTTTTGATAAACACATCTTCTCCTGTCATTTCTTTGCACCACCACCACCTAGATATTCAGTGACTAGGTGGTGTTGCTTGCACTCCACAGTTGTATGATATCTTAAACTGCACAATATTATTTTATAAATAATGGTCTAACTAACACAGCTATTTAAAAACATTTGCCTCCGGTATGAAGGAACGAATACCAGCTGCAGATCGTGAAATTCTAACACACGATGTACTTGTACAGCAATACATTGAGAACACAAATTGTAGAATTAAGTAAAGTAAAAGTACGAGAAAGCAAACATAGAATTAATATTGACATTTTCAATAGGAAATTAAAATTAAAATTAAATTAATTATGTTTCGTATCATTCAATTTTTTTCATGGCCCGTAGTAGTGTAATGGTGTGGAACCTGTATGTATTTCATTAATTTCAACCAGAAA